ACACACACACACACACACACACACACACACACACACACACACACACACACACACACACACACACACACACACACACACACATACAAAATCAATTTTATGTTTGTCGGTCTTCCTTCTGATTTTAGCTAAGTATTTTTGTGTGTGCCCAACTGAGCACCCTCAGGTAGTGCCAAACAGTCGGTGGTTCCTCGTTTGGAGTGCCAACTGCACTCTTCGGGAGACCGCTTGGTTTCGGATGTCTGTGTTGCCTTTATGTGATGACGGATGCCCGTCGGAGTGTCTCCCTGGCTCAGTGGGTGGTGGGTACCAACACTCTGTGGGGTTCACCCGTGATGTGAGTAGGTGATGTGCTGCTTTGCCCCGTGTTGGATGTGTGGACGACCTCGTCTGCGCTCCACCACTGCCTTGCTGCCTGTTCCGCTTGCCTCGCAGGTCGTTCTTGGCATGCTGCTGTCTTCGCTGTGTGGTGTGGCTGGGTTGTGGTGTTGCCTTGCCCTTCGCTGCTTCGTTGCCTTGCCGCCCATCCGCTGGTCGTGCCTTCCGCGTTCTTTGCTTGCGCGCCCTGTAGTTTGGTTACCGTGTTGGGGTTGCCTTGTGCTCCTCAGCATGGTCGCTCTGCTGCTTGTCCACTTGCCCTCTCGTCCCGTGCAGTGTGGTTGTCTTGGTAGTGTTGTCTGGTGCTTCACTGCTTGGGTGCCCTGCTGCGGGTTCGGCGTGCCGTGTCGTTCCTTGCAGTCGTTTTTGGCGTTGTGTAGCCGTGTTGCCTCTACTGCGCTGCCTGGTGCTCCGCAGGGTTTCTGCCCGCTGCTATGTTCCACTTGGGGGCAGTCTGCCTTCAACAAGGGTCAAAGGGTTCATGACCCAAACCATCATATACGGAGATTCCCCAGATTGTCGAGGGTTCACCCTCCTGATGAGTCGGTGCAACTCCGACGAAACAATCTATCATCATCAGTTTTTTTTTTTTTTTTTTCAGTTTTCTTGGTTTTGGTACTTGCCTTGTCCGTTGGTTGTTGTCGTTTCCCTGCCTTATGTGCTGGTCTGTTGTCTGCCCTCCCGCCTCCCCCGTGCCCTCCAACCTATGTGTTGTCTTGGTACTTGCCTTGTCCACTGGTTGTTGTCGGTTTCCTGCCTTATGTGCTTGTGTGTTGTCTGCCCTCTCGCCTCCCCCGTGCCCTCCAACCTATGTGTTGTCGCAAGTTTCTTGCTTCCCCTGTGTGGCCTCCAGTCTATGTGCCCTGCTGTGCCTTGTCATCCAACAGTGCATTGCCTCCCTGCCCCTCGGCTTTGTTCCCACCGTCTGCAGATGGATGCATCTGTCCCACGCCTACAAGTAACCACTATGCACACTCCCTGTCGAGTTTGCATGAGTTGTGTCGTTGGTAGGGTACACTATGCTTGCTATGAGTGACCACGGTGTGCCGACACTTTTCAGCGTTGGGGAATTTGCCTGACATAGCATTCGTGCCAAGGCGTGCCTGCGTGCACACACCCTCAAAACACACATGGATGGGGATTTCCCCTGAAGTGTACACCTCTGCGGCTGAAGAATAAGTCTGCAGATACCATCCTGTGAGGATCGCTGGAAACATGTTCGGTCAAGTTGCTCAGTTACGCTGCTCCTGCCCTAACGGTCGTTCACCCGAGATCTGCCAACACAGTATGTTGGAGCCCATATGGTACGTTGTACGTACTATCGAGTGCCTTGGCACACACTACAAAACACACACACTCACACACACACACACACACACACACACACACACACACACACACACACACACACACACATACATACAGACCGTTTTTCCGTGGCGGTTGGAATGCCTACCACTTTGAATTTGAATTCCGGCCGCCACTGCTGCAAGGGCATCACAGAAAGATGTGTGCCCCTCGTGAGGGCATTTCAAGGACCGACCGACGAAACGCCACCAGCGGTCCAGTAAGGGCATATCGGAAAGCTACGCCCCATGCTGACAGGGGCCTGCGAAAAGTTTCAGAGGTCGGAGGGGAACCACAGGGTAAGTCGGCCTTCATGGGGCACGCCACAAATAAATGCAAACTTTGGGGGCATTTAAAAAATTGTCCCTTCTTTTTATTTTATTTTTAATAATTTGCTTAAATCGATTTTCGTTTTTCATTTTTTTAAAATCTTAAACAAAGTCGGATTCCAAAATAAAAAATACAGGAATGTAGGGTTTTCCAAGCCCTACAACCTTATTTTTTTGTTTTTTTTTCTTACGTATTTGTAGGGGTATAAAAAAAATATTAAAAAACCAGGCCGCAGACAGGGCCTCATTGGCGGCCGCAGCCGAATTGCTCGCGGCCTAGGCCGCGGGTGTCACGTAGCCGTCTACTGACTCTACTCGCCCGGACAAAATTTTAGTACCTATACTGCACTTGGATTTAAGCTCATGACCTCTGTACTAACCGTTAGATTTCTGCTGCGTTCAACCATCTCGGCTTGGTTCCACACCATTTCTCCTCTGTTTTGTTGTATTCTTGTCAGGTAGAACTCTCTTAGACTAAAGGAGGACCGTTGAAGAGGAGAGCGAGAGGAAAGATTGCTGCGTGTGCACCCACATCCGTCATCTCACCATCAGTGTAGTATCGTTTTGCCATTGGCATCTCTACTGCATTCCTGCCTTCTGACGCAAGACTCAACATAGACTACAACTACATCGTCCCCCCCCCCTCCTCTCCCCCCCTCGCCCCCCCTCTCTCTCTCTCGCTCTCTCCCCGTTGTGTGTAGACTTTTTCCTGACGTGGTAATGCGCGCATAGCTTCAGCTACGAATTTGTCACAGGGCTACAACTGTCGCAGAGAGGCTGGCTATAATAGAATAGCCTCTCTTACTTGTCAGTTCTCTCTTCTTCTTTGGTGTTCTCCCTGTTGCTCCTGGATTTCTATTCTAGCTACTCGTTTCTCGGGGGTCGTTTTGAGGAAAAAGGTGGACTAGGGGGGCGTCCATTCGTGAACTGTTCGCAACCATCAGGCTGCAACCCATGTGTGAGCACCAGAAAGTAGGATAGAAGAAAAACAACTAATTCAACCATTAAAACATCAATACATTCCCCTATATCCATTCCGCCTGCGCCTAGTAGTATCCTATCATCCCTTTTGGAGCGCGCAACTGCATACCTCAAAGCACCAATACATATCAATACGAAAAGTGTTGCTATTCATCCCACTTTGACACCTTCAGAACAAAACTTGTCTACGCGGGTGGAGGCAATGATTGCCTCTCTTTGTAACAACTGACATTCATTTCTCCACCTTGTTGCCTGATTTAGGTCGGTATATAGGATATTAGACCTCTTTCTCTGCCAGGTGGATCCGCCATGACAGGACGGGACACACAAGAGGAACAGCCGCTGACGCTAAAGGTTCAGGAGCGAGACAACATGCTGGACCAATGGCTGGATTTTGATGTCCACCCTAGTGAGCCATGGATTGTTGGCATGTCTTCTAAAAAAGAAGGCTATTTTGGAGTGTGGAATTATGAAGATGGGCAGCATATTGAGGTCGGATATGCTGACTACAGTTGGGGAGCAAAGTTTGTAGGACAGAAAGATAGGTTTGTGGCTGTCATTGGGCAGAGGAGGAAGAAGCCGCAGTTGATTCTCTATGAGATCTTGTGAACTTCCGGCAATCAAATGCGAGAAATAAAAGAAGTGAGGAAACTCATGACACTTGCCAGTATGAAACTTTCGCATGTGCATTCCATCGCCCAGTGTGTCTTTTTGGTGGGGAACATTAGGGCATGGCAAGCTTGGGAGGAGAATGATAAAGACGGATCTTCACAAGAGATTCACTTCTGGGATTTAGACCACAATTTGCACCAAATGAACAAATCATGGGAAAGCGGGCCATGGTGTTCCGGCTTCCATTCTCTTGACCCACGCATTTTTGCTACTGGGGTTCGGGAAGGGGATATCAAGATTTGGGATGCCGAAACCATGGCTGTCCTCCAAACATTTCGAGCACAGAGCGGGCTTCTTTCCATGCGGTTCTGCACGAAGCCCCAAAAGTCGCTTATCATCACAAGTCACAAATCTGGCAAGGTAGGGATCTGGGATTATCAGAGGAAAGAATGCCTGACCACCCTTGGTGGACATGGAGGCTCTGTAGAAGAAGCTTTCTTCCATCCACACTTGCCGTACATATTGACTCTATCCTGTGGTGGATCCATCAAGGCCTGGAGAGATTCAGATTATGAGTTAGAAAAGACTCTTTCCACTGGCCTGAAGGAATTTGATGCCATCTGTCTCTGTAGGAATGGCAACCTCATTGTGGTTCAAAGTGGGGGGAAATTGCAATTTGTTACAATAGAGAGTGTGTGTCCCGAGATCGACATTGAGAATGTACAAAGGATAAGGCAACCAAAGAGCGAGGTACGTGATTGGCGGGAAGAAAGGCGACCAGTTGAAGAGGGATTTGAGAAAGAGAGGCGAACATATGTGCAGAGGATAAAGGAGCTTGAAACTGAGCTAACCAATGGGCGGATGGAGAGGCAGGCATTAGGAGAGAGATTTCAGAGATTTCAATCAGAGCATGAGATCAAGAAAGGCATTCACTCAAGGAGGGTCAAACAACTTGAGAATGAAATTGGCAACCTGTTGTCGGAAAGGGAGGCAGTCAAAGAGAGATTTGAGAAATCAAAGCTCGAGATTCCAGATTTGAAACGCAGGCTGGAGACGGAAGGAGGTGTAGCTGAGAGAGTGGAAAGGCCTGCTAGAGTCCCAATAGGGGTTCCAAAAGCGGACAAGCACCCGTTTAGAGAGTTTTCCCCGGATGAGTTGAAGACTGCCACAAACGACTTCAATGATAGCTGCAAACTCGAACAGCACCATTATGGATGTGCTTACCTAAGAAGGATCACACCAGTCGTGGTAAAGAGACTTGAAGTCGGAAATGCCATGACACGCGATAAGCATGCTCAATTGATGAGGGAGCTTGTGGACCGGTTGAAATCTCTTCGACACCCCCACCTGCAGATGCTGCTTGGAGTATGCTATGGAGAAAGTTGTCTCGTGTACGAGCACGTGGCCAACGGAAATGTGAAAGACTGGATCTCACCCTCAAGAAGGTCACAAAGGGGCTTCCTCCCGTGGTACATTAGGCTGCGGAGAATTGCTCAGGTTGCACAAGCCCTGTCTTTCCTTCATTGCAACCCGTCAGTGAGAGGTGGTCCCATCATCCATTGTGCCATCAAGCCAGAAAACATCTTCGTGGATCGTAATTTCGTCGCTAAAATCGCAGAGCTTGATATGGCCGTGCTTGCCCCAGTGGTTATTGAAGAGGGTGAATCATCAGAGGGACACCGGTCCCGTGGAACTGATGCAAAATACATGGCGCCAGAATTCTTTCAAACAGAGGTATTCACTCAGAAGACTGACATTTACGCATTTGGCATCACAATCCTCGAAATCCTCACCGGGAAATTCAAGAATGCATTGGGAATTGTGGAAGACGCAGTGGAAGATGCTGCAACCTTTGTAAGTACCTTGGACCCAGCGCAGGAAGTTGGGACGTGGATCTGGCCATGGAAGCAGTACGAGTGGGTCTGAGATGTGCGAATCTGGACCGACGACACCGGCCGAGCACGATGACAGGTGAAGGTGCAATTCTGCCTGCATTGTAGGGTATTGCTCATACCGTGGAACTTGCTGACTCAATCGAGGACGTAGGAAGGGAGAGCTTGTGTGAGTAACTCGTTCAGATCGTTGAAGGGGTGAAGGTTGGGCACAAGATGTGGCCAGTTGGGAAGGTGAAACTTGATGATGGTGTTTCCATGCTCACAATTTATAGCATATTAAGTCTATATGGATGGATCATTCGAATTTTAGAGTCATAGAGCGTCAGTTTCTGATAATAGTGTGAGCATTTATTGTACTGTGCGGAGTACACTGCATCAAAGTTGGCCTGCAGCTTTTAAATATTCATTATTACAATTAGTTACTCCCTATCTGCCAAATCACGGCAGTGTGTTGTAGCCCTCGTGGAATGTATTCCAATTCAGGGAGTCATTGGCCATCAGATTCTCATGTTCTACGGTTCTGATGTTACTTGTGGTCAAGCAGTACAATATCGTCAGGTTGCAGTGTGTTCTTGAAGCGACTGTACGACCACTTAGTGGTGAACATGTCTATGTCCACCATGTTAGCAGTATTGATAAATCATATTGGGCTGGTATTCAGTACTCTGACTGTTCTGTTCCTTCATTTGCAGGCAGAAAAAAGCAGGATGTCTTGAGACTTGAGTTAGTTGAACTCTTGAATACCATGTTTGCTTCCTTAATGGGCATGGGGAGAGAGGGTGGGTTCGGTCAGTTCACAGTGGGTGGGTACTAGGTKCYSCWCTACGMTAWGTCAAACKAMTGTTSTWGAACCTATTTTAYCTKCTGGGTGMGMGAGAGAGAGAGAGAGAGAGAGAGAGAGAGAGAGAGAGAGAGAGAGAGAGAGAGAGAGAGAGAGAGAGCTTGTGAYMGRMCTGGAATGCAGCAASACGATAKRKATATGKATATATATATAGAGAGAGACAACTGCGCCTGTGACCTCTGCACAGTTTGGAATTCGCAGAAATAACAGTCCACTGCAAGATTGGGCCGTGAGCAGTTGGAAACAGCAAAAAAACAGTGAACTGCACGTTAGAAGGCCTACGGGTTCGATAATCGGCAAAAACGGGAGGTGGCCTGGCCTAACAGGTACCGGTAGCAGGCCCTCCCGGTTTTTTTGTTTTTTTTTTTCCCTTTTTGGCTTCTGGCGGGAATGGGTTCGGGCTCAGGCTGGAAAAAGATCCCACTTTGTCAATACGTGCCCCGTTAGCACCCTCCCCATTCTCTCTCTCTCTCTCTCTCTCTCTCTCTCTCTCTCTCTCTCTCTCTCTCT